TTAAAGTTCATGGTCTTCCACTCATGTTGAGAGTGTTCCTTTTTAAAGATACCTTCCAGAATCATGACCCCGCCTCTTCAAGGGATACCATATGGTGCATCAGTCACAGCATGGAGAGTTAATTAGAAATGCAGACTCCTCGGCCTCCCAGACCTGCTAACAGGCTACCTTGAGGTTGCTAGGCTCATATTGAGACATGAAGATTTAAATACAAAGCTTGAAAACATGCTTAAAGAAAGAAATCATAGAATTATTTTTAATTAGGATGGAAGGGAGGGAAGGAGGAAGAGAAAGAGAGAGAGAAGGGAGGGAAGGAAGAAAGAAAGAGCAAGAAAAGAAAGGAAGGAAGGAACGAAGGAACAAAGGAAGCCATAGGCTCCTCAGGGTCCAGTGAGCACTAGGAAAGTTATGTTAGTGAAAGGAGACTAGGACCTTAAAAGCCTTTTAAGAGGGGAGTAAGTAGAAACCAACCTCTCTGTACATCAGTTTCTTTTACTTTCCCGATGAAGAAACATAACCAATGACCCACTTAGCTTTGCCCAAACCCTGGGTTTGGAGGTGCCTCCAACCACTGTCCATTTCTTGTGCTCATAGACGAAAACAGTATGGCGAAACCCAAACTGGCTGCTTATCAAGACCTGTTATGTATACAGGCGTCTTCTACCTGGCCCATGACTTTCACATTTACTCTTTTCTTTAACATATGTGCTAATTATTTCCTTTCCAGGGCAACTTAAGCTATAGAACACCCTGCCTAACTGCTCTGTGCTCCAGTTGCAGTTTTTGCACACTGCTAGATGAGTGTGCCCTACATGTTTGTTTGTGGATATTGTCACTAATTTTCTTGCCACGGACCATTGAGATAGATTTGGATGACTGTTCAATTATTAGTACTGAAGGAGTAGCTAAGGAGAACCCCATCTTGCCTGACTTACACCAGTCCCCACATATCACTGTGAATATTTTCTTCTGAATGTGATCAATAACAAATTCTCAGAAACGAAAGGTCACCTACGCATTGTATGCAGGCATCATACCCGAGGTATCTGTAATGGATTCTCACTACATTCTGGTTTGAATTTGGTAATTTTATCATACACTCTGCTTTGCCAGCACGTGATCTTGTGGTTGCTGCCAGTTCCTCTAACACTTTGAATTGGCCATTCTTTAAAAACCTGTAAATTTGGCAATATCTGGGTTTCAAGGAAGAAGTTCAAGAGATCCCATGCCTAAATTGCTGATTCTCACTAGTCAGACTTGAGTTCACAGCAAGACCAAGATAATGCCCTGACTTCCAGATTCCTGTGCCCATGCCTTCCCAGCCCATTGGGGAGATGTTTCACACTGTAGCACCAAAACTAAGTATTTTCCTTGGAGATCTGAATACTTACTCATCTGATTATTATCACAATTAACTATTATCTGCCTCCAAACAGCTGAGCAGTTTCAGAGAGGAAGAGTAATACAACTACAGTGGAGACTAATAACTCCATACACTTAGGATTGCTTATTATTGGTGTTTTATTATCTTCCCTCAGACTTTAAAGTGAATCAGGAAGGCAAGAATAAAAATCTTGGAATCCTGAAGAAGGCATTAGATACCAGTTTGAACACGAGAAAGTAAAGGTCCAGAAACATCACACGACTTATTTATCTTAGCGTGATTGTTTTGTGATACAGAATGACATTGTGCATGTTTTTGTGAAGATCTTCTAAAAGGACAACAGATTTTTGACAAAGTTTTCACTCTTCTTTTGCAGTTTTAGTCCATCAAATAGATGCATCAAGGAACTGTGGAAGAATGCAAAAAAAAAAAAAAGAAGTTTCTTATATTCCAAACACAGGTTGATTTGGTTCATACATTCATACATATTTTATGCATACTGGAAGTAATATCATAATTTTTGCCATCTGATTCATGAGGAAAATTTTAATGGTGTGAAATTTTCCTTTTTATAATATTCTGTCTGTCAGTGCTACAAAATAATTCAAATATTCAGGTTTTGAGTTTTTAACCTATATGCACTTAAACATATTAGTATAAGAAATGCCATCTGTTTTAGTTCAGCAGAAAGAAGGTAACATAAGATATTATGTACAAATGAAAAATATCTTGAATAATTTTTAATTGTGCTGCATCCACTTGATTCACCTTTACTAATGAAATGTAGGTGAGCAGTGAACAACTGGGTAATTAAATCACATGTGAGACGGGACTTCAAGGGATGCCAAATCTTGCTTAGGTATTTCTGGTTGCATGTCTAAAATGAGTGATAATAAATCAAGAAAAATACTTTAAGGATTCATAAAAGTTTCTGAAAATAGGCTGGGGTGGATCTCTTAGATAGAGCCAGCATGTGCAAGGCTCTGGGTTCATTTCCTAGCACTGGAAAATAAAAACAAAACAATAACTTCTAAAAATAACTTTGTATTGTGCTCACCCTGTCCAATATTCTTGTACTATTTTGAAGATTCCATGATGAACTTTAATACAATACACACCACCAACAATCCCAGACTTTTCATATAAAAGGAAGTTAACCAAAAATTTGTGACATGTGAATATTGATATTGTTAATGATATCACACTTTGAGAGTAAGATGAAAGTAAAATTATGTCCACAAATGTTGGCTGAAGTATGTGTAAACTATTGAATTTTAGGAAATAATTTTGACAGTGGGCAAAGTTAATTTTGTAAGTAGATAGATTTCACGTTAATCTCAGCTACTGGTTCCTAGTTTTGCAAGTTAGTAGATAATACAAATGATCACCCAGTATAAGTCATAAAAATATACTTAGGAGAGTTTACTAATATGCAACTTTCGAGATTGCCATCATCAGGATGTTTGTCACTGGTACCTCTTCTTAGTGAAGAGTCCCTGACTGAGTGTAACATCTTTAAGTACTAAGTATGTAAGGGAATTAGTTTGTGGGGCTGCCCTTGCTAGCTGAACCCAGAGGCCATTGTACTTCTTGCTCTTTTAGAAAATAAATATAAAGCAAGGAATTAACAATGCTGCTTGCCTGGGGAAACCATGACTTTAGAGAAGTCTATTTCTGAAGTCATGGAAACCAAATGGGAGCCATAAACAGTAGGCCCCAGGGCATGAGGTCTTCTCCTTAAGATATGTAGGAACCATGAATTACAGTACCCACTTCCAAAGAGACTGGGCATGTGTCCATGTGTCCATCAAAAAAGATGATCTCTAGGTCCACAGCCAACACCTTGTTCTGCTTTGTGCTACTCTGCACACTAGTTTTAACGTCTTCTTTTTGGGAACAAGGATTAATCAGTGCCACTTACCTCATGAGATTTAATCAGCTAAATAACATCAGACTTGATGACCACATGGTGCTTTGGTGAAGGTGCATAGTATTATTATTAAACAGAATGTAATTACCTCAGTTGGCATTTTTCCATAGCATAAAGCTAATACTCATCCCTGCTTGATATAAAATACTTCACCCTGAGCCATTAATCATGGACATTGGCATGTCATTAGCAAATCTAGCAAGATACCAAGTGCCGCTATATGTACACTGATATTTAACCTTTTTTTGCATTAAAAGTCTTTACACAGAAATAAAATTCCCTCAATATTTATTGCCTTATTTACGCCAAAATTGCAGACACTTTGATAAATGGAGTAATCGCTTCTAGTGTCACTGTGGCTATGAAATGCATTTAATGTCTTCTGTGACTGTGACTTAATAATTCATTTCAGCACATCTATTTAGAAATCACAGTGGGTTTATTTGATAGACAGAGCACTGGTGAGAAAGGTTCCTCTTGTCAATAAAAATAGCCCGCGTTTTAAAATTAGTGCCTACCATGTAATTTTAACTTCATAGGCTTAGGTTTGTTTACAGCTTTTGGTGATGGATCCCATTTTAAGATGTGACATCTTTAATGTTTGACCATAAAAGTCATAAATAGATGTGCTTAGTTTGATAAACAATTTCTTAAGCCAGAGTGATATTTCCTGTATCTTATTTGATAGGAAATCTAATAACTAACTGAAACTCAGCAATGGTTAGAGAATGTTATGGCCATACATTTTTAGTGAACTGATGCCAACAGAAGTGATATTGGTATTGACCTCTGGAAAAGAGATTCATACATCAGGGTTACACGTGAAAGACACATATCCATTTCACAAGTTCCAGGCTATCATGAGCTACATAGTAAGTATCTGTCTCACAAAAAAATGTTCAGTGATTGTTTTGTTGTGTTTTGTTTTATGAATTTTAAGGACTGCAGAAATGACTCATTAATTAAGAGATTATATTGTTTCTTTCCAGAGGATCCAGGTGTGATTTCCAGAACCCCCTTCAGATTGCTTACAACCATCTATAATTCCATTTCCAGGCAATCAGCTGCACTCTGCTGATCTCTCTGGGCACCTGCATTTATGGGATGCACATAAGCTCATGTAGCCACATCCATATATTCAGAAATATAAGTAAATAAATACTAAAAGCATAGTTTATCTTGTTATATGTGGCACTTTTCAGACAAAAATGATTATAAAGCATGCATTTAACCTTGCCTTTGAGAAACTTGGCAGTAGAGATTGTCAATAGGCTGCCACTTGCTGCATATTGGTAGTCAGAACGGAGACTCAAGTACAGGACTCAGGGACCTTACAGAGGGGGACATATTATTTCCAATGGTAGTTGTTGTAAAAGATCATTTATTATGGTGCATTGAGAAGTTGACCTAGAATAGTTAGAAAAAATTTTTTCAGAAAGACAGAAGTTCATGTTATCACAGGCTGGCCTTGAACTTGCAAACCTCCTGCTTTCACCTCCCTAGAGCTGGAATTAACAGGAATGCGCCACCTATGCTTGATGTACATGATGCTGGGGATTGAAACTAGGGCTTCTAACATGGAAAGCACTCTACCAACTGAGAAACATCCACAGCCTGGTAAATATGTATTTTTTGATGATGATATCTCACTGTAATGCTCATTAGTTTTGTATTTTCCTGTTTTAGAGACGCCCAAGCAGATGGCCAGCAATGAAGTTTCGAAGAGGATCAGGACATCCTGCCTATGCAGAAGTGGAACCAGTTGGAGAGAAAGAAGGCTTTATTGTATCAGAGCAGTGCTAAAATTTTAGGACAGAGCAGCACCTGTACTGGCTTACAGGTGTTAAGACTAAACTTCGCTTATACCTTTAAAACAAACAGACACACACCCACAGCCACACGCAAAGGAGCCCTAAACTGCTGTAGCCAGAAGGGAGACAAGATTTCTGGATTAGTCCAGCCCAGGAACATTGAAAAGAAAACTCAGACTTGTACAAGACACCATGTACACTGAATATAAAATTCCCTAGTGGAGTGACATACATGGTTCATGAGGAACATCTCCTGTGGACTTGCTGGAAGTGTGACAAGATGACAGTGTTTTTAGTTTAGGTGCAGGGTTGCAAAGGGATCAAGGAAAATATAATGATAATAAATAAAGCTTTAGTTCGCAAGGGATCTACACCTTTGGTTCAAATGTTCTTCTCTGATGTCTCAACGATAACCATGTTCCAAAGCCTGAATGCTCTCCCTGGAAAGAGCAATGATGAATGTTTCAGGATTGCTGAAAACAATAGCTCACGTGAGAACAAAACCAAATGGAGGTTTTTCTATCTTTCCCAAACAGAATTTTGGCAAAGGGTTTTTACTTTTTGCTCTAGATGCAGATGTTCCAACAAGTTCATTATTCCATAGGATGAACTTTCATCTGTTCAGAAGTTCACTATGCCTGCCTCTTCCCTGGTAATGAATACCCTTCCTGTGAGCTGTGACACAATTTCCAAATGTTAAGCTAGAGACTAGAGAGGAGGGCATAGCCAGTGGGGGTTTTCCATTCTCTCACTTCAGAATAAAACAAGTTTTCTTTTCAGAGGTGCTGCCTCCTCTCCCACCTGGAGTCCTAAAGCCTCATTTGCTCTTAGCTAATGGGAACTGACAGAAATAACAGGAAGAATTGTGTGATCCTTTTTTGAGACAAATATCTTAAGGGATTTTGAACACCCATTAAAAAATTTGCCATGTTTGTGTGACAAACCCATTTCATTGTCAATTCCTGTCTAAGAAGCCATTCAAGTCAACATATCCTGGTGACAGGAAAAATAGGAAAGAAAAAAATGGAATAACCCTGCTGAATCATGCAGTAATTTTCTTTAAAGCACATAGTAGTTACATAAATATATATATATAAATATATTTTTGTTTATAACTAACACAAGGCAGGCTCTTGTGGCTCTAAAGAGTGTATTTTGTCATCAAGACAAAACAAATGCAAGATGTATCACTGCATTCCTTCCACAACATTGTAAGATAATCCTTAATATTAGAATATTTTTGTGTCACTTCCAAATTTGGTTCATTTAGTTGCAGCATGTATCATTTTGCAGCCTATTGGATCCACTCTTTCATTCATAACAACCCCTCCTTCCATAATTCAAAGAAGCAGTTGTAAACATCCCTTGAGTGAAATTCTCATTTATTGTACTGATTGCAGTACAATTTTCGAAAACTCCCCATAAGTAAAGAAAGGAAGTGTACCAGTCAAGAAGGAAAGCTGTTGATGTAAAGCATATCTCTAAACATGAGGTCAGGTACTGTAGTGTAGAAGTCCACCAATGGCTTGACCTGTAAAACTTCAACATTCTGTGCCAAGAAAAAATTCTGGTTCTTACAAGATACAACATTCAACATTTACAAATTCAAGTTTCAAAAAGCAAGGATTCTCAACAGTAGCACTTCACTGACAGTTTACAATCTGTGTACAGTATCTACACTGGACAGTATCCATCCCCTAACAGGGTATCACATTATCATCCCCAGTATCTGACATAAGTGAGGGCTCTTTTCTGTCACATGTGTTTTTCTTTACGATTTAAAATATTTGATGGTGGTACCATTTCCCTAACTTCAGCTAAACATGCCAGAAAGCAAAGGTAGAAGACCAACATGGCTGCAGGATGTGATGACAATCTGTTCCCCACCAGCTATGCTCGAGTCATATGAGCTATCTCAGCTTATTTTTGTTGGTGTAGCTTTGGTGAGAAAGCAGTAGCCAAATGACTTGCCAATGTAACTGGTGCAACTGGTATTCCACAGACACATAAAGTACACATAGACAATTTTCCTTTTAGGATAAGATAAGGATGCTTTCACTTGCTTTAGCAATAAGCATGGCTTCCAATGGCAATGGACTGGCAGACACATAAATCTCTTTGCCTATACATCTCACTGCTAACATAATTCCCACAAGTAGTAATGACATCCTTACCCTTCAAAGCTGTCTTCCATTTGTTACTTGAAACAACTGATAATTCTGTTAAATGAATACACAAGACCCTCAATTATTCAGTACATCAAAGCACTAAGCAATGAGGCAAAATTGGAAGCAAGGAGGATTCTAATTTGTGTGGAAATTTTCTAAAATCCCTAAAAGAAAGAGTTAAGCTTCGTATGAATCCACAAAATATTGGTAGAGTCTCTTTGCTCTATGAAACTTTAATTCTGTTTGCATTCTGCTGTATTCTTGAATCCTGTTTACTTCAGAGGAAGGGCATATAGGATTTCTAGAAATTTTTCAAAAGAATCCAGTATAGTTGATGTTATATGGATTATGCATTATGAAGCACAGATACAAGTACCTTGGTCAACATTCTGTGAGCTTGAAGAAAGAATGACAATGCTGTTCTTATGAGAGGAATAACAATGGGATGCATACGACCTTAAGACGAACCCAGGGAATTGGTGCTGCAAAGGAACTCAGCTATTTTACCTTAATTTTAAGAGTAATGACCAGTGATTATATAACTAATCAACCAACCATATGGTCCATGTTATCTATTGGCTTGTTTGTGAGTGGTTGAAACCTTGTGGTACACTAACAATTAGAAAGACAAAGGTTAATGGCAAAGGTCAATTGGGCACAGATGTTTTTTCTGTAAGGTTTCTGGGGTATTCAGTATACTCTCAAATGTATGATTTAGATAGGTGCTGTCCACTATTATCTACTGGACAATTATGGCTAGTAATTTTTAGATTAATACAATTTATATTCAATCTCCTGGTCACGTTTGAAGTGACCCATAGCCACACATGGCTCATGGCTACCATTGCGGTCTACACATAATTCTATCATTGAAGAAATTTAATTATAAAGTCCTATAATGTTTTAATTGAACTACTTATTCTTGAAGGAAATAGTGGAAGGAAAGAAGGAAGGAAGGAAGGAAGGAAGAAAGGAAATATGGTAACACTTAGACACATCAAAAATTTTTTGTAATATATGTGAGGCCTCATAGAGAAATGAAGAGACTTAGTTGACATGGCTTTGTGTCTTCATAGTGTTTTCTCAGAAAAATCATTTCAATCTCCATGAGTCTCAATTTTCAAGTTGTAAAAACATTAAATATGTTGTCCTGTCTTTTTTGAAGTATTATTTTTGCAGACTGATTATACATACAGATGTAAAGATTTTCAAAAATTTACATCAATGTAATCTATAAAGCACATCTGTAGGGCCAGTACCAAACTGCACACAAAGGAAGAATAGTCCATCATTCCAAAAGGCAACTAAAGATAATTAAGGCAATACATTCTTGAGATGCTGTTAAAGCACATAGCAAAACTGCTTGAATATTTTTTGTTCTTTTTTGTTCATATTTTTCTTTTCTGACTCTTTTTCTTATTTGCACAATTGCTGTGTCTCCTCTACCTGCCTGGACTCTTTCTTATGTCACTTGGTGCCTCTCGTTATTCTGCTTTTCTACTTTACTCTTTACAATAAAATGAATCCCAGGATCTTAGCAGAAGATCTTTTGAAAACAAAAATGATACTACAAACATTAGCTATCTCATATTTATTTTTATTTCTAATACAAATGTAAGGCACTATGAAGTTAAAATAAAAATATTATGGAGACTTGCTTTTTAATGTAAATTCTGCAAATACAAACTTTATAAAAGGAATAGTTACTTTAAAGTATGCTCTTGTCCAGATAATATACAGTGTGGGAAGGTATCTCATGCAACCTGTTCATTTTACTGACAAGAAAACCAAGACTTAAATGATACAAGAATTCTCTCTGTTGTTAAAAGTGGGTTTTAAACTTAAAATTCTCAATTCGTCTTTTTTGCTTCAATTGTTATTGCTTGCATTTTTGCAAGCAATTAAGACAAACAAGCAGCTTAAAGTCCTAATCCATGACAAAATTAACTTTATCTGATATAGGGATGATCTGTATATCCTATACTATAATATGAAGCATTAAACAACCTTCGTGCATCCTGTTACTATCTCAAGAATGCTGTTATTCTGTTTTGAATTCCGTCTCCTATAGGATCCGTATATGTGTCCCTTCTCCCACTCTCAGCTGTGGTCACCAGGTTAGCAACACTATTATCTTTGTCATTTAACTGTTCTTCTGTCTTTGTTTCATTTCTACTCAATTGTATTTGAAAACTAATACTGTTTTTTGAAGAATTTCCACCACATAAATAATCAGTTTTAACTTGTTCGTGAAAACTATTTGGCCACTTGTGATCCAAGAAGACCTTGTGGGAAAATATTGTGAGATCAGCGGTGTTCCCTATGATGTACTCATATCATTGTGTTTTTATAAAGCACTTTACATTTTACAGAGTACTTTGATTCATCCTTTCACTTGTTCTTTCATTGAACTACACAATTATTTTTACTACATGTTAAGCACCTACTGGAAGTTACTCTGCAGATCTTGTGGTATAGGAAAAGAAAGTGTGTGTGTGTGTGTGTGTGTGTGTGTGTGTGTGTGTGTGTGAACATTTGGGTGACTGGTGAGATGGCTCAGTGGTTAAGAGTACTTACTACTAGTTCCAGATAGTTATGAACTAGTTCCAGATAGTTCATAATTATCTGGAACTCAAGCTGTAGAGGAGCTAACATCCTTTTCTGTTCTCCATGAGTTCTTGAACTCATACACACACACACACACACACACACACACACACACACACACACACACACACACACACACAGATATACACACACAGAAACACACATATATACATAATTAAACATTAACAAATCTAAATAAATAGTTCAGGAAACTAAATATATCTAATAAAATCCTCAAACCCAGCTTTGCAAAAAGGAAAAGCATTATTCTATCAATTTTTAGTTCAAATAACTGTTACTCTTTTTTCAAATTAGCTGATAATTTTGTGAATAGGAAGGAGAAATTTGAAAGGTGCCTTGGTTCAAAAAGTTTCTCATTCACTTGAATTCTTACTGAGCACACCCAAAGTAGATATTTTCCTCTCTTGCATAGATACATCTGATGCTATTTATAAATGATGAGCATCATTCATTTTAGAGCAGAGAAGCACCAGTGCTTTCAAAAGGCTTTAGTTGACCTTTGGGTGTGCTGCAGCTGTTCAGTAGGAGGATAGACATCATTTCTTCAACTCAGCACTGTTGACATTTGAGATCTCTAAGTCTCTGTTGAGTGGTTCTACACTTTGTAGAGCATTTGGCCACCTCCATGTCTTTTATTAATTATCCATAAGTGTATACATCCCTTTAAACAAAAGATATTTGTAGACATCCATTGTGTTCCCATGGTGGAGAAAAGCGAGAAGTCGGCCAAAGCATCTCCTGGTAAAATCAGTGTTTTGCCTTTTAAGTAAATTCTGTCAGGAGTCAGGACCCAGAACAGTGGTGGCCTTGTATAGTTCAAGCCTATGGGAAGGTGAGACAGGAGAATTAGAAGTCTGTGGTGAGGAGAAAGAGAGACAGACAGAAGGAGAGATTCAAAATAAATTCCTCTTTTGATTATTTAATCTTTATCATATGTGAATTTTTATTCACAACAAAGTTGGCATAACACACTTCAAAGTACAAAAGGAACACATGATTCCACTACAACCTAACATCACCCTTATCTAGTACTCTATCTGTTTATCTAACAATTATAATAAGAGGATATAATTACATTAAGAGAAGACAAGAAGATATTGCTATCTTTGGAAACTTGAAAGTTGACTGTTGGATCCTTAGCCGTCATGTTGTCAAGCAATGACACCTTGTAGCTATATCCCTGAGGCAAAAATATGTACTAAATACAGTGCCATGACCCTGAAGTCATGCAGGTTGAGTATCTCAGAGACTTGGGTCATTTCTCTCATCTACAAATTGGAGCCTCACACTGTGCATAGAAGTTGAAGCTGCTTGCATCTAATATGACAGGATGGCCTTTCTATTTTTAATTCCTGAAAGTTTTCATGTCAGTAACACCAGAATATTTTCTTCTGACACATATCAGCTATGTACTTAAAGCAATAGTTTCAATATGGAGGGTTTTATATTGCTTTATGAGAATAACAATGCCCCAAGGAATTTAAAGTTGGAAGTTTCACACTTAAAAACTTGTGTATAACACACTAGTGTATACTCCTTCAATGTGCCTTATGTCAGTTCCCCTGAAGATGAATAGCTTCCTGTGGATAACTGTCTGTACAATCTGCTTCCACTTGTGTATATTTTGCACCAGTTGGAAACCCTGATGAAGTTGTTTGAGGGCAGTCCTTTATGAATTTTAGAAACATAACAAACAAAAGTTGGAATATCTTGTTTTCTTTCCCTTTTTTTAATGACCAATGAGACTTGGTAGCATTCAAAATTATTCCATATGTTTTAATCAATACACATGATAGAAAATTCAAGGACAACAGTCTGTAGGCTTTGAATATTGACAAAGACTATTTGGGAATATTCTCACAGGCATGAAATCAGAAATTTCCAACTATGGAGAACCACATAGGCGTGTAGAGTTTTACATTATCGTTGTCCTGTCAGACTACATAGTAGTGCTTCTCTAGTTCTGGAGCAGCTGGTCTACTAAATTTAACTCAAATTCTACTGTATCTGACTAATTATTTACAGGCATAACATTGACAGCATTCAGTGCCTACTGCCATTAGGATTAATATTGTAAAGAAGCCTGATTCCTTGAAAAGAATTCCTTTAAAAATTTTGTAGAGCACATCACTTTGGCTTCTCAGTATTGTTTATTCTGAAGCAGAAAATACCAAAAGAGTGCATGCTAAAGACTTGCTAAAGCACATTGTCAACACTAAAAGCCTCTGTTACTTTATATACATGATAAAATGCTAAAATGTAAACCATAATGTGGCATTCATCTTTATCTAATTTCTAAGATTTATTAATATCTGATGATTACTCAAAAACCTTCTAATGAATTAAAATGAAAAAATAGTCTGGCATATACTGATGTATGCATTCATTTTATATTTCATCTGAAAAAAATCTCTTCTGTAGGATTTTAGAGATTAACAGCAGTCTCTTTTTCTCCTTAGCATTACAAAATATGTATGTCTTATTAAAGTATCACTCATTTATCATGCAATGATAAGTCTTTGAGGTCCATCAGCACAGGCACAGTAGGACAGTGGTTTTAGAAGTTTGGCACACTGGATGAAGTTTGTACATAATAGTATGTGTGTAAATTTGTATCCCAGGGAGGTAAATAAAGATCCATATGTACTATTAGGCAAAGGGTTCAACTCTGTAGATCAGTGTTCAAATAAGTATTCAGTGAGAATCAGCTCAAATTTGGTCATTCAGACACAGAAGCACAGATTCTGAAAGTGACACCAGGAAACATGTGATAGACTCAAAGTACGGGAAATGCCAATTAGTCTAAACCTCAGAGATTACTAGCACATATTTCTTTGACAGTACCAATACTAACACCGCCATGTCCCTTGCTCTAGGGACTTGAGTCATTAATCAAGTAGTTGCTTTTCCATTTATCTCCTTTGATTTAAAAGGCACGAACATACTGTTCAATTTCTGTTATACCAGTCAACCACACAAAGCAAAAAATAACATAAAATAAATTTTCTGAGAAATCAATAAGAACTGTTTCATCTATGATCTCCAAGATTTATCTATGAGAAATTTGACCATCTCAGGACCTGAATCCCAGTACCACTGCCTGGATGCTGTAGTGACAATTATGCAAATATTTAATGGTGACTTGAACAAAACTATGCTCAAACTGTCATAGCAGAGCAGGGAAATAGACCACAACTGTTTCCAATAAACTCCTCTGAAAATTATTTTAAAAGAAATCAGAGATTCCTTTGTAATGAAATGTTAAAAATTCTTTTAAAGAAACCAGCTAAGCATCTTGAGACACAGATGTCCTATGTATGGTGTAACACAAGTGTTAGGAGCCCTGTCCAAGTGCTGAGAGAAGCTTCACTGAGTGGTCAAAACAAATCTCACATTTGTCTGAGTTGAGGCATGGGTTAGGGACCTGGTAAACACATTATTTTTAAAGAAAAAAGTAGCGACAACCTGTCTCGCATGCCAACTGGGATCATGACAACTTCAAATGCCAGGAATATACTACTTTTTCTGGTCTTTCTGCTTGTGGTCATTCGAAATGTTGAAGGGTGAGAAGAGAAAAACTTTAGGAATGGAGTAGACTGGCAGTTGCACTGTGCAGAGAATATCTATGATGTGGCTCAAAGTGGATTTAATTGAACTGTGTCAGAATCACAAAGCTCCCTGTCTGCTGCTGACCCCTCAAATCCAGTCAGCCCAAACAAAGGAAAAACTGTGGCGAGCAGGACACATTATGGGTTTTACCTTCGTGAGAACCTTCTGTGGCCAACTAAATGTGTGTCTTTCAGGTGATGGTTAATTTTACAAAGGATTTTTCCAAACTTTCATTACTACGGGACTTGAAAAACAGCATTCCAAATTTCCTCCAGTCTTTCAGGCATCGTTCCAATTTCTTCTGTCCCGTCCACGACTCTTTTTGAGGCAGCCTCTGTCTTGATACAATAGTCTTTCTGTACTTCTCAATGACATCACACTGTACAAACCTGAACCTGTGAATGTAGACACAACTATATCCAATTTTGGACAGACAGAATCTGAGAGCAAACGGTGTGCAAGCTCCATTGTAGCTCGTGATTCAAATTCCATAATTCAGATGATACATAGTACCACAAACTTCCTGAACTTTTACTGGAAGACAAATTAACTAAATGCTATTGTATTCTCTTACAGTCCATTAATTTTCTATCCTTTACCTGGGAATCCATATGATTGTAATATTTCTTTAATTTTTAATACAGTTTCTTATGCCAAGTTTTTCTGACATTTTGGTTCTGCATACACTGTAGAGGTAATTTATTTAATAATAATTCCATAATAAATTCAGTAACAATGATTGGTATCTGTACAATATAACTTCTAAGGACTGGAATCTTCTAGTGACCAAATGTGATCTGCACCCCTGCTATGGGTTGCACTTTCCAGAATTAAGTCCTGTTCTTCTAATTTTAAGATGGTGTCAACAAATTCTGAACTTTAGAGGGGAAGACAGGAGCTATTTGTGTAACACTGCTGTCATGTTTGACTTCATATTAAATACAATAAATGAGCATTGTTTTAATTTCTTAAATATTCTCACCCTTGTCATTCAACACACTTCTGTCTCCTTTCCTCTATTTTTGCCTATTTTGTGAAAGGAACTGTTTGCAGACGGTATACAGAGCAACTAGCTAATGTCACTCTAGACAATCATTTTGCCCTTAATCATGTCCTGCCCTAGGGACTGGATACCAGGTAGAATAGCTATAGAAAATACAGAGTGCAGGGCCCAGGTGAGATGGCTGAGTAGGTGAGTCTACTAGCCCCTAATCCTGAAGACTGGAGTTTACTTGCAAAAGTCACATGGTATGGTAGAACAGAACTGCTTCCTAAGATTTCCTCCTGATCTCCACATGTATACAGGGGCACTGGCTCACTGATGGGGCACACATGTTTTAAAGACTGAAGTGTGTGTGTGTGTGTGTGTGTGTGTGTGTGAGAGAGAGAGAGAGAGAGAGAGGTTATTTCATAGCTTACAACTGGGGAAGAACCTCATCCCCTCTCAGTCACAGTGTGTGAGTGATTATGGAATTATCCTGAGATATGTGTGATTTTTAGCAGATTTTTAAAATCCAAATTCTAGAATATATTCAGATACCTCAAGGCAGCTCTCTCCTCCCTCAGTATCTTTGTTTTTTTAGATTTTGCTGATTTCCCATTTGAGTTCTAGAAAGCTCTCTAATGTTTTAACCTTTTCTTTCTAAACTAGAAAAATTTGCCCCTTTTCCTTAGGTGCCCTTGAAAGTGTGCCTCCGGAAATTTACATGGAGGAAGATATCTTAAATCTCAGCACTGTATGACTTTTCTTGGTGAAATCTGCACAGCTGTCAACAAACCAGTGTGTCTTAGTGACCCAGGAAGCTTATTAAGTTAAGAAGCATAGATGAATATAGAAAAGAGACTACCAGATATTAGTCCCTTTTCTGATACTGTGATTAAGCACAAACTACAAGCTGCTTGGGGAGGAAAGGATTTATTCAGCTGATACCTCCACATCATGATCCAGTTTTGAGGGAAGTTGAGGCAGTTGGTAACAGAAACCAAGGAGGCACACTGATTCCTGACTTTCTCCCTCTGTCCCTTGTGCTTAGCTTGCTTTATTTTACAGCTCAGTATAACCTGCCCTAGGTCTGGTGCCACCCACATCGAATTTGACTCTTGTTCACCAATGAACAATCAGTACAGTCCCTTAAAGACATGACCATAGACCTATCTGACAACTAACTTACTTTCCCCCTAGGTAATTCTAGGCTGTGTCGAGTTGACAATTAATGGTAACTAAGACAGATATGTTTACAGGAGCGTGGCATGACTCAAAGGCAGTCATGTCACTGCAGTATATCCCTGCAAAGATGACATCTCAAATGAGTTACATCCTTGGAGCTTTCTGTACCCTTCCAGTCAGCTCTTCTGAGACTCAAGTCTCCTCTCCTTTCATTGTTACTGCTTATAAACTTTGAGAAGGGGGATTATGAGTCCTGTAAGTTTTTATTACTTCATTGCATTTGTGAGTTGCTGCTTCCTGAACCTTGGAAGTTGTGTTTACTTTGTGCATCTAAAGAACCTCCCTCCACGATGCAACCTTTCAGTTCAGAGGAAACTGCTGCACACCACCCAAATCCTTACTGTTTCTCCCTGTGGGTTGTTCTTTTAACAATACCGTGTACATTCAGGCCTAATACCAGGACCAAGAAGCCCATAGGGTACCTAGAACTGGCAGCAATCCCAGGCTATGCCATTACCTCAGTTTATGGCTTTTTTAAAGGCATGAAACTATTTGAACTGTATTAACTAAACTTTGATATGGAGTAATTCAGAAGATCAATTTTAAATGGGTGTGAATTGACTTTATGGTGGCAAAAAGGGAAAATTATTACTCGAAATCAGACCACTTTTCCTGACAATAAGGAAACATTAGGCTAATGCTTTAAAAATTAAGTAATGTATGCCATTAATTAAATAAGGCAGGGAGTGAGCCCGGATGATATATGTTCAAGAACAAAGAAGCTGATGACAATGATGCCTTTTAAAATTAACTGCAGTTTTGTCTTCCTCCAAACCACATTTTCAGAATCAGGGACACCTAACAAGCACTTTGGAAATTTCTTTCCCTCTTAGTTTCACAAAACTTTATTGAGTGGCTGTTGTTTACTGGGAAATGTACTTGATAGAAAGGAAAAGGACATTGTAGGGAGCAGAGGAAGTTCTTGAGTGAGTGAAAGTCTCAGTGAATGTGTGTTTTGAAGTGAGCACGGCCATATGGAAGATTTCCAAGACCTTGGACACACAGGACAATCGGCAAAGCTGTTACCCATATGGTCAAGGCTCAATAGGGATGTCAAGAGTTTTTCTCTGGAGTTCAAATGTGAATGTTTATGAACCACTGATGAGTGTGTGCAAAGACTAGCGTCTTAAGCATCCTCCTTCAGGATGTTTATAGCCTGAGGTTGCTCACCTACAAAGACCTCCTACCGAGACTAGCCCCACCCCTATCCCCCACCCCTGTTCTACCTGATAAACTCCTGGGCTTTTGGTTTGCAGTGGTAGATGTTAGAAAAACTATGCCTGATTCCAACATCACAGGTCTCTGTGTCTGTCTTATCTCCATTCCTTTGAAGCCCCTATGTGGGTTTCCAGGACCCAAGCACTGTGAGGCATATCAAGCCATGGTCTTTGTTTTCAGTTAGCCCAGGGGATTAAAATATGGTACATTTGAGGCAAAGGATATGGTTCCATCAGTAAAGTACCTGCCATGAAAGCATGAGGACCTGTGTGGAACCCACATAAAAAGTCCAGTGTGATAACATGCCTTTCACCTGTAATCCAAGCACCAGGGAGACAGAGACAGGAGGATCCCAGGAACCCCCCAGGATCCCCAGTCTTGCCAAATCAGTGAAGTCTAGATTTAATGAGAGACCATGTCTCAAAGAATAAGCTGGAGAAGATAACGGAAAGAAAACTGTTATCACCATCCAGTGATTGTATGGGTGATTCCCAACCTTCCTAATGCTGTGACACTTTATTTCAGTTCCTCATGTTTTGGTTGCTCCCAACCACGGTATTATTTTCATTGCTACTTCACAACTAATTTTTTTACTATTATGAATCATAATGTAAATATCTGATATGCAGGATTTCTGATGTGCTACCCCCAAAAGAGTCACCGCCCACGTGTTGAGAACCACTGCTTTACATGTGCACGTATGCGTATCACACACTCACAACACAAACTTATGGTAAGTGTGGCATTATGTCACAGAATAGCACTATTTTACATGAGAGAATATTTCACAGGTAGAAAAAGTTAAGTCTGAAAGGAAAAAGATGGGTTTATTTATAAAACTGGTGGTATTTAAACATGAACTTGATCTTGCAAATGAGCAGATCTTCAACAGGAAGTCACACTAGACTTTGAGGATGGGAAGCCCATTCCAGCAGAATGACTGGGCAGTCGGGAAATTGGGCTAGAGTGTGGTGATATCTCTAATCTTTGCTTTTGCCCACACGGTGATAGGTGGTACACTCTGAACCTTTAGAACAGAAGAGTGCTCTAACCAAACTCTCCCAGAATGACCTCCCAGTGGCACTAGGATTCACTATCTCACCAGGGTAGGGCGGGGGCGGGGCGGGGCCAAGGGCCCCGGGAGGGCTGTTCTGGGTGCCATAGTTGAAGTCTGGCTACTGCAGTAGGACTGCTGTTCCTTCTGCGCTCTCAAGTGTCATCCTGTTCTCAGTTCTTCCTAATTAAACCTGAGCCTCCGGCTCATGTGAAGTGCCTCTCCCTCACACCCACCCCTTCTAACAAATGTATTTTCTTTGCCCCACACTGGTGATACAACTCAGTCTGACACAGTTTCCTGTAAATGTGACCAGACCTGCCCAGGGTTATCAGTCTCCAGATACCAAAATCTCCATTTTATAAAATCTGAAAAGCCAAGGTGAGCTACTCAACAAACACAGCCCGAGGAAGAAGGGAACATTTGTCCAAGATGATGTAACACAAAAATAGTGTCTATGCACCACTTTTAATTTTCTTACAGTTATTGAAGGGTAAGGGAGAACATTTGAGTGAAAAGATCAGAATTTAAGCTATGGCCCCTGAAATAGTGCCCTCTCAGGAGTCTCTGTGGTTATTTCAAAGCTCAGCAAGTCTATGAAGGGAAGAAAGACATCAGATGGGGGGGGGATCTAAACATTAGGACTAATGGAAACAGAAGACAGTCTGGAGATTCCAGACAGCAAGAGGATTTCAAAGGGTAAATTCTAAGGGCCTCTGGATAATGAGAGAGAGAAAGAGAGAGAGAGAGAGTATGGAACATTTTTAGGGTTCTCTGGGAACTCAGATGAACACCTGATTTAGTCATCAGAGAAACACTGAAGATTTCCAAAGTAAAGGAGGCCAGCTGGCTCCAGTGACCTTGACCATATATTTAAAGATCACAGCCTTGCAGTT